TTTCTCATCAAGTAACCCGTAACCTTTAGACTTTGAACAGTAGCCCACAAATCTCAATTTCACAGCTTTCTTATCCAATTTGTTTCTCTTGCAGTCTGCAATGTGCACTTGGCAATGTGGGCAGTGGGCATAGGCCACACAACCCTGCAAATATCTTCAAAGGACTGAGGTCAGGCTTCCTCCCAAACCACCTTTCATATGGCAACACCTTCTCTTTGTAAGTTATGGTGGGAATTCTATTCCTTATGAAAGCTGCTGTAACCACGGCCTCTCTCCAGTAGCTTTGAAGTAGTCCAGCACAGCTAATCATGGTTCTAGCTGATTCCACTGTAGTTCTATTCATTCTCTCTGCCATTCCATTTTGAGCAATAGAGTAAGGAATGGTACATTTGTGTCTTATGCCTTTTCCCTTTAGATACTCTTCAAAATCATTAGATAGATATTCACCCCCATTGTCTGAATGTAAGGTACTAATCTTAAGGCCAGTCTGGTTACAAGCAATGGCTTCAAACTCTTTGAATTTGTCTGGGACCTCCAACTTATTTCTCATTAAGTAAATGCTACAATTTCTAGTGTTGTTGTCAATGAAGGACACAAAATACTTCTTCCCATGCACCCAGTGATTCAGTAGGCATTGGCCCACACACATTGCTGTGAATGCACTGTGGCTTTCTTGTAGATCTTATTTCCTTTAACAATTGAAATGGCTTTCTATGTTGCTAGCCTTCTACGCAGGGCTCACAAAAGGATAAACCTTCTGATTTGAGAATATTAGCAACTATATATCTCTCTCATTTGCTGTTCCCCTAAATACCCAAGCCTTTTGTGCCACAAGTCAATTATCTGTGACTTATTCTGAGATGGTATTGAATCATACTCTTGCACTATGGGCTCACAACTTAGCATATATATACAGCTTTTTCTCCAAATAACCCATACCCAAAGAATTTTCATTTTTATCCTTTATCAAGCATTTTCCTCTTCCAAATTTAATACTATTTCCCTTTGAAGCTGCCACCCTCACAGAGAATAAATTATACATAAGCTTGGGTACATGTATAGGACATCTTTCATAACACGTCTTGTGTTTACTAACCTTGAAGGTCATTGTTACCTGTATGTTCCCTATGCCAACTGCTTCGACAGCATAACTATCCCCTATAAGCTCACTCTCTGCAACATCTTCAGCTCATAGTAATTGAAAATCAGTTCCCTCGAGTTGATTATGTGACTAGTAGTTCACAAATCAATTAACCATCTACTTTGTCAGGAAGAATCTGGCGATCCAGTGCAAAAGACTCCATCTCAAAGGAGTCACTGTATTGGGTGTGTCTTCCCTTGCTTGCTTCACATTATGCCTTGGTTTGCAGTCACTATGAGGACTCTCCTTTTGACAGTCTTTACGGAAATGTCCTATTCTTCTTCTTGGGATCTCAATGCTCACCACTGTGCATTGCTGATACCACAATCCATTGCTACCAATCCTCTTATCACTTTGATGTGACCCAAAATCTCTGTTTTGCTTTCTTTTCTCATGTATCAGGCACTGCTGAACATAGCCTAGATTGAGATTGTCTTGGGTTTTTTAGTGTGAAGTAACTGGCAGGTAAACTCCCTATAGGAGTGTAACAACCTGGTCTTCTGCTACTGCTGCGCCGAGTGCTGCAAGGTTACCAGTAAGCTCTTTCATCTCTTTAAGGTGCTTATCCATGGAATCACCTTCTCTCAATTCCATCCTGAAGCATTGTTTCTTTAGTAACAGCTTGTTTGCCAATGTGCCTTCTTCTATCCTGAAGTATTGTTTCTTTAGTAACAGCTTGTTTACTAACATGCCTCTCTCGTAGTGGTCACACAGAGCTCGCCATGCTGGTCAAGGTCCTTCAAAATAGGTGATCAAGTACAACTGGGATGAGCTAATAGAGAGAGCAATCGTGAAGAACTTTTTTTGCTATCTCCTCCTAAAGTCAGCCTCCTGTTGGGCATTTGCTCCCCTGCCAAGAACTTCTGTTCCATCAACCAGTCCCCATAACCCTTTGGCTAGCAGCAAGCGTTTCATCTGGAACTTCCAGGCAGACCAGTTGGCTCCCTCCAATTTACCATTTTGCTTCTGCTTCAGCCATCACTATAATGGATCTATAGATACGTAGGATTATCTTCAGGACTTGTTGACACTAGAATAGTTCTCTCTTTCAGCACAGTATGCCTGGGCTCATAACCTGTTAGCAGGATCTTATCACCAATAAACAACTTAACAGTTTATAATTTAACAGTTTATTATCAAATAACAATCAGAACTCAGAACTTTTGAACTAGTTGCGCAAAAATCAGGTTAAATAGACAAGACAACAATATTCATAATTTTTACACAGAATAATTACCACAAAATTAGCTATTTTAATAACTACATGTAATTCAACAAAAGTTCTAATCATTCTGTAAATAAAATTTCAAAATGCAAATTCTGCAAAATAATTTAAAATCCTTAAAAATTACTCATTTATTGGTTTGGGCAAGCTGAAAAGTTGGAACACTTTAGATTGTGTTAGAAATAATTTTACAAGCAGTTTGTTTTACCATAATAATAATTCACAAAATTTATGAAGTCACGATCAATTCTGTACTATTTCGACTTGAATTACATTTTGTCAATGGTTTATTACAGAACAAATGGAGTCCACTTGATGTTGCAGTCAAAGAAGGTCATGAAAAAATAGCTAAACTATTAGTTGAAAAAGGATGCCCTGTGACAAATGTAAGTAATCTAGAGTATGTACCAGGAATTAATGTACCTTATAGACTGCAATGAAATTTGCTACTCAAGCTGGTCTAATTTCTACTATTAAATTTGTGATTGAGAACAATGATATTGACCTAGCTGAATGTGTTGATGAGAATGTAAGTCAATGTATGCTGTCTACAACTTATTTTTGTGTGCCCCATAAGGATGGGCGGACACTCTTACACCATGCAGCAGAATATGGGTACACAGATGTTGTTGAGCTGTTTCTTAATGGAAAAAGAAGAGTTGATACCAACTGCAAAGACTTTGTACGTGAAATAATTATTCAATTTTAATAATTTATTTATTGTATCATAGTTCCGAACAAGACCAATTCATTTAGCAGTTCAAAAAGGCAATATTACTATTATTCAGATGCTAGTCGATCATAATGCTGATGTAAATTGCAAAGATTTGGTGAGTTATTGGAACACATTTTGACTAGTTTTTATCATAATTTAGGATGGAATGACCCCATTACATTATGGTTTTAAAACTAAAAATCAACCTGTTGTTGAACATTTACTTTATAATTGTGAAGCTAATCCAAATATTTGTGATAAAGTTAGCTAATTTAATTTAATACATGAGCTTATAACTATCTAGGACAACAGAAGTATCCTACACTTTGCTGTAGACACCATTGTAAGCTTTGTTATTACCACACTATATATTTTAGTTTAATTCACCACTTTTAAACGGCACTCTGCTTATTAATGTTTTAATTATTGTAAATGGATGAGTTACCAACTTGACCATTAGCTATTTGTTATTGATTCTTTTAGAGTCATATAGCCATGCCTTATAGCATGCATGCTTTTAGCCATTTATTGTCATGCATAATTACAAATTATGTCACAGGACTCATATTGTATTTTGTTGCTTTTTATGACAAAGTACATAATTGCTTGTCTTGTTATTGTTTTTTAAGAAACTGCACATGTTGGACAAATCAATTAGTATATTTGAGGTACTTGCAAGAAAAGCTGATGTCAATATTAAAGATAAGGTAACTGCTATGCATGGCATATTATGCATAAACATACATTGTAGATTACTGTGTGTACCCTGTTCCTCTGTTAATTAATTTAGGATGGAAATACTCCACTACTATATGCAGTTCTTGTATGTTCTGTGAGACTGGTGACTATACTGTTGGAGAATAAAGCTAATCCTAATATCAGGAATAAT